TTTCCCATGACATCTACTTCATGTCCCTTGTACTTCCCCCAAATTTCAGTTTCTGTGTCTTGTACATGCCCAAGTTTTATATTTCAATACTGGTGACAAAGTTGTTTTCCTTTTCCAATTCTTCCTATTCCAAATCCTACCCATGTTTCTAGACCTCCATAAAATCGATGTGATTATTCTTCCTTATACATAATTCCCAATTTATGTCCTTCCTATATAATTCATCTCTTTTCTCTCCTGCTTTTTTTTTGAGTTGGAGTCTCACTCTGTCACCCAGGCTGGAGGGCAGTGGCACACTGTTGGCCACAACAGCCTTGACCTGCTGGGCTCCGGCGATCCTTCCATCTCAGCCTTCTAAGGAACTGGAACAATAGGCACGCGCCACCATGCTCGGCTAATTTTATTTATTTATCTGTCTATCTATTTATTTATTTGTTGTAGAGATGAGGTCTCACCAAGTTGCCAGGGCTGGTCTTGAACCCTTAGGCTCAGGCAATCCTCTCACCTCAGCCTCCCAAAGTGCTGGGATTACAGGCGTGAGCCACCATACCCGGCCTTCTCCCCTGCTTCTTATTTGGCATTTCTCATCCAGCACTGTGATACAGCTTATACATCTTGAGGGACATTAGTCACTCTTTTTAGCTGCACAGCGTCCAAAACACTTTCCAATGTTTGGGGAGTTCCCTACTTCCTGCATTTGAGTGGGAGGCAGAGCCTGTCTTTTCCCATAGGAGACAGGATTCTTGTTTTCTCCACCTTCAGCTAAGGCTCAAGAAATATATGTTGAGCCTGGCTCGGTGGCTCAGCCTGTAATCCCGTGCCTTTGGGAGGCTGAGGTGAGTGGATTGCCTGAGCCCGCGGGTTCGAGACCCGCCCGGGCAGCGAGACCTCATCTCTACAATAAATCAAAAAATCAGCCGGGCGGGGTAGCGCGTGCCTGTAATTCCGGCTACCTGGAAGGCTGAGGCGGAAGGATCGCTGGAGCCCAGCAGGTCGAGGCTGCGGTGGCTGGGAGCAGCCATTGCACTCCAGTCTGGGTGACAGAGTGAGATTCCAACTCAAAAAAAAAAAGAAATATATGTTGAACTGAACTTTACGATTCTTTCAATATTTTAAGGTTTCTTTATAATTTCTCTGAAAGGGATAAAATATTTATTCAAATAATAATACTCAGGATAGGGCTTAGAAGATACAAATCTTCGTTTTCAAGAAGGTTATATGTAAACAGATATATGTGTATGTGTGTGAGTGGATAAAAACGTGCGCATTTTTCTGAACCAGAAACATTTTTTTATAGGAACACATATGACTTTATTATTATAATTATTTTTGAGTTGGAGTCTCACTCTGTGGCCCAGACTGGAGTGCAGTGGCCGCTCCCGGCCACCACAGCCTCGACTTGCTGGGCTCCGGTGATCCTTCCACCTCAGCCTTCCGAGTAGCTGGAATTACAGACACGCGCTGCCACGCCCGGCTGATTTTTGATTTATTGTAGAGATGAGGTCTCGCCAAGTTGCCCAGGCGGGTCTCGAACCCACGGGCTCAGGCAAGCCACTCACCTCAGCCTCCCAAAGGCGCGGGATTACAGGCTGCGCCACCGAGCCTGGCTAATATTCCTATTAACCCTTGCATTTTTAGGAAGTTATTGAATAGTGAGCATTCAATTAATATTTGTTGAATAAAAGAACCTTTATCTAAGAAAGATTTCCTTCATAAACCGAAGAAGCTTTCATGCAGCCTAAGATTATCCTACGACAACCACTCTGTTTCCTATACTTCCAAAAAGTCCTTGCAAATTGTGAAAGGGGTTATGAATTTAATGGTGTAAATGTATTCATCGTAACAACAGAGTGAGTATATTGAAGCCAACTGATTGAGGAATTAATCTCTTCCATCACTGTTTTCTCTAGTCATGTGGTTGCAAGGCAGTTAGAAGTAGAAGCAAATCATAGAATTCCAACTGGCGGTACAAGAGAATTTCAGAATTATGGATTTTCAAGTGTTCTATTGACTTCCGTGGTCAACATTATGATTGAGTTTTTTTCATGACGGTGGCAGCAGAGCTGGCCTCTACAAATAAACAGAAACAACATTATAGTGCAGTAGCTGGATACTAAATGGAGTAAGCTTCCCAGGACACTGATGGGTCTGGGGTGTGTTGCTGGCGGGGGAAGATGTCTAAGTTGGGGAGAAGGGGAAGGAAAGATCCGCCATTAGCAGGAACAATAAATCGTTGACAGGAGGACTTTTGACCAAATCAACACTCAGCACACTTGGCAAATTAGCAAGGAAGCTATGCTGTCTGAAAGAACTGATTCTGTCCTATTCTGATCCCCTTTATTCCAGGCTCCAGGCCCTGTGTCCAGCAGGATTTAGCTCCAAGGGCCAGCCGCAATGCACATTACCTGGAAGCTTGTTAGAAATGAAAAATTTCAGAACCTATCCTAGACCTTCTATATCAGCAACTTATTTATTATTATTATTATTTTTGAGTTGGAGTCTCACTCTGTAGCCCAGGCTGGAGTGCAGTGGCATGCTCCCAGCCACTGTAGCCTCCCCCTGCTGGGCTCTGGTGATCCTTTGGCCTCAGCCTTCCAAGTAGCTGGAGCTACAGGCGTGCGCTACCATGCCTGGCTAATTTTTTGATTTATTTTAGAGATGCAGTCTCGCCAAGTTGCCTGGGTTGGTCTTGAACTCATGGGCTCAGGAAATCCACTCTCCTCAGCCTCCCAAAGTGCTGGGATTATAGGCTGAGCCACCAAGCCTGGCCTGTATCAGAAACTTATTTTAATAAGATTCCAAGTACACTTAATTTAGAGAAAAGCAATACAATTCTAACTTTTCTTTTCATCTTATAAATCCACTAGTGAGTCTAAAAAAGAAAAAGAAAGTCATAGAATGACTATCTTTTGTATCTTTTTTTTAATTTTTAAGTTGGATTCTCATGCTGTCGCCCAGGCTGAAGTGCAGTAGCACACTCACGGCCTCCGTAGCCTTGACCTGCTAGACTCAGGGGATCCTTCAGCCTCAGCCTTCCAAGTAGTTGGAACCACAGGCACTTGACACCACTCCCGGTTAATTTTTTTGATTTATTGTAGAAACAAGGTCTCACCAAGTTGCCTAGGCTGGTCTTGAACCCCTGGGCTCAGGCAATCCTCTCACCTTGGCCTCCCAAAGTACTGGGATTACAGGTGTGAACCACCAAATCCAGCCCATCTTTTGTAACTTTTAACAGACTGGCCATTGGCCACAAACATAGCACTAGTTTTCCCTTGTCTGCATTTCATTCGTTCATGCAAGCAATATTTGAGAGGCGGGCCTAAGTCATTAACATTTATTATGCACGTTTAATTTTCCTAGCCGTCCATGTAGTTATTATCCCTATTTTGTAACTGGGGAAATGGAGACGAGAATGAAGAGAAGAAGCAACATGCCCACAGTGACACTAATGGTGTGCAGTGGCGGAATCAGAATCGGAATATATGCCTCTCTGAACACAGAGCTTGCACCACTCTCTGCCGCCCAAAGCAAGTGTTAGGGTCATCTTGCTGGGGCCTCCAAAATACGTCAGGGTCACCCTCTCCTAGCACTCTCTCATTCCAGAATGTTAGGTCAGGCCCGCTGGGGGTGTGGGTGTCTGATGTTACATGAACGATGCAAAGAATTGCACAGACGTTCGATTAGAAAATATAGTTTATTTAAAGTAAATTAGAGAGAGAAAAAGAAGATTCATCTTCCCAAGGTGGAGGCAGGGGGGGGAGAAGGGCAAAGCCAGGCAGCATGGCGACAACCATAACTCAAAGAGCACATGGCCACACCAGAGTCTAGCAAGGCAGTGACCAGTGGCTGCTTATGGTTGAGTCCTTTTCACCATTCCCTTTGATGGGGGAAGATCATTAAGGTGATTGGGTGGTGGTCTGCTCCAGTCATCAGAAGGGGCAGGCAAGCGCAGGTACTGATGTCAGGTGATGGACAGCAGACAGATGGGTGGGTTAGTCACATGATTGCTGCCCTGGTGGGGTCTGTCTGTGTCACCTAGGTCACAAAGGGCGGATTAGGTTAACTTGGGTTTTGGGCCCAGAGGAGTTTTCCCTGCAAGAGACTTGTTAGACATTTGCAGTAGGCAAACTCCTTGACCAAAGGTGGTCTTGTGATCATTCCTTCGGCTTTGGCCTTTCCACCTTGACAAGGAACCTGAAAGTTTACTAGAAATTATTATGCTAAATCATGAGTTGAAAGGTTGGGCTGTTCTGGTCTCACACTTGATGGAGATTTGCTGAGGGGCTGGGATAGGCTGCTGCTTGGCCTGCAGTAGAATGTCGGCATGCTTTCCAATGGCCATGGTGAGGCAAAAAGACTAAATGAAGAATAAGCTAAGTTTCTTCTAGGTTTCTATAGGTCCCTCCTTTCACCAAGAGTGTGTATTCCTTCCCTTGTTCAAGGTCAGACTTCCTCTCTAGTGGAGCAACCAAGTTCCTTATATGTCTGACCCTCTGTGTCCTGGGTAAGAGCTAAGTTCAGAGGCAACAAGGAAACAGTAGCTGACATCTTCCAGGGGTCTGGGCCGAGTGGTGGGGACAGAAGTGTAGACTGGCCGCATCCCCAACCTTCCCCCTCCATCTTGGTCCTCCCAGCTCTGGCCTTAGAGGCAAGAAGACAGCCTAGACCAGACTTCCCACAACCAAAATGGCGGCCGTGCCCTCCTTGCCCACAGTTGCGTCGGTCTCCACGGCAACGCAGCCCGCTCCCTCGGCGCCGGCTTAGCTCCCGAGTGTGGGAAACGGCGAGCGCGTCGCTCCGCCTCCTTTTTGCGACAGTTGCTGCGAAAGTCACGGCGGCGGAGGCTGGTGTCAGCTGATTTTCGGCGGCGGCGGCGGCGGCGGCGGCACCGGCACCTTGCAGTCTCGCTGGAGACCCGCGGTCGGGGAGCACCTGCAGCCCCCCAGGGTTTCCCCGCCGGGCTTGCGCCCTTGACCTCCTCCCGAGACACGCCCTCGCTCGTCCTCCTCCGCCGGGGCGCCCGCGCGGGGTCTGGTAGGCGACCTCGCGGCATGAAACCGTGACAGGTCAGGGGGCTCTCCCGCGTCCCCCTGGGGGAAGCCCGGGGCGGGGGGCGCCTGCCCCGCGGAGGTCAGGGGCCGGGGGCCGAAGGTCAGACGCCCGCCCCCGCCGGGGGCGATGCTGGCCGGCAGGTCGCTGC